GAGGTCCAGGTTGAAGGATCGAACAGACACTGCAGCGGATCCGGCGGTATCGCCAGCTGCCACATCATCGGCAGCGTCTACAGAAGTCGTGCTGGTCTTCAAAATATTCGGTATCGAAATGGATGCCATGATGCTGACCAGTTCGCGGGCAAGAAAACCGTGTGAACTATAGAGGGATAGTTGAACAGGGAGAATGAATATTTTCCAGACACGAAAACTAGGTAATGCTTAAGTATTTTTTCGACAAAGAGAGCAGATCCAGTGAATATCGACTACCCTTAAACGGTAGGAGAGGCTGGGGCATCTATTTTTGTCTATACAGCTCCTGTGGTTGAGAGCATGGCCTTGCTGTCTATCGTTAATATTTTGGCAGAAAATAGCACTCAAAGGAACAGTAGGCTGATCAGCAGGCAAAAAGTTTTTTTCGTAATAAATTTTCGTAAGAACACCTCTTCTTAATTTGTTTTCAAGTGCTTAAACTCGGAGTAAGTTTGAAACACGTGAGCTTTTCATGATTTTGTGGTCGGTCTCTAAATGTGTGCTGTAAAAGTCGGAATGGCGCTCGTCTCTAATTCGGCAATCTTGACTAACAGAGCCAACACACTTTGCATTCACATATAAGGCCGGGCGAATGTGAAGGAGCCAAGAGCTTACGGAGAGTTATCAAAAACTAACACACTCATTTTGTAGCTAAGGGGATAAACGAAAGCTTGATTTGAACAGCCCTCTACAAAACAACGCAAGCAAAAATTTTCCCACACTTAGTATAGCCGCATTCGACGTGAAAAAAAATGAACAAAATAAATCAAGTAATGAAGGAGAGACTAGTTTCGTGGTTGAAGTTCTTATTTTAGGCTTGATAACGCCTTTGCCGCTCTACCAAAAATATTACTGTTTGCATCCGCTGACGACCGTCGGGCAAACTATGGAGTAAGGAGACAGTTCCCCTTAACACTGGTCGTTATATGAATTCGGCAGCGTGAGATGACAGGCGGGCGCTACACTTGGGGGCCATTTACGTGACATCAGTTTTCTCATATTATTAGACAGAATGCTTACATTCTATACTTTTTGTGATAACAAATGAATAGAGCACCGGAACGGTTTGTTTATTTTCATTGCAGTGCAAACGAGCGGGACTAGGGGGCTGGAATTGTGCGCCGGCCCAAAGTTATCATGCGCAGCAGGGTTGTGAAAATCAAAGTCCGATTAAATACTAGTGAGCAGTCACGTGTAGTGTATCTCATCCCATGCCTAAACTGTCTTCGAAAATACACAGGCCAAACTGAACGCGTGTTGGAGTCGCGCGTATATAAACAAAGGCTGGATGAGGAAGAATTATCGCAAGTTGCTGCTCACACCTACAAATCGGGTCATGAGTTCAACTTTGCAGGCGTCAACATAGTCGCCCATGCCGGAAACAAAACGAGCCCAGTATCGACTGAAACTGGTCCACAGATAGAGACTCACACAATCGATGTAGCGATTTGGCGCCGGCGTACAGAACCCTGCGCAGTCCCCTCCAGAACTCTTGCATGAGTTCGAAAGCTCCCGGTAACAAAAAACTGTTCCAGTGCTCAAGTAGTCTCCTCCTTTACTCATGCAAACACCTGGGCCGCGAACCTTCGCATCTATTCGTGACATCTGTTTTTAGATGATAAAGCAACTTATGAGCCCTCCCGTAGGAGTTTCTACTAGGTTCATTGATGTGTTTGGTGCAAACCGCTACGGTATTTACGTAGAACCGTCCACCAAATATATTGGTGAACCCAAAGCGAAGGGCTCACATAACCATGAGGCTTCTGATCCACAGAGACCTAACAGTCAGAAAACCACCTTGGTTCTAGGCTCCCAAGTTCACATTTTTCAGGACGAGTTGTTTTTCCGAACAGTAGCGGTCTTACTAACCTACGTTACGAAAGTCACTAAACGCAACGAGCCCGTGGCGCAGTGGTTAGAGCGTTGAACTTCTAGTTTACAAGGTGCCGAAATCGAGCATCGGATGGTGCACTGCTTGGTGTTAGGTATGACTGGCTGAGGACAGCTAATGAGCCGGAAATGGCCATACCAGTCTTCCTTGTCCTTGTCGGTGTCATTCAGTTACTAAACGGTAAGACTATTTGAACAAAAGAATTAATGAGTTGATAATACCTGCCGCCAGCGGCTCCTAGTCTCAGAAGATCTAACTTTTAAGCTGTTTGATTCAGAAGAAATAAACACGCAAAAAGAAAGAATCCCTACCTCACTGACTCAGAATCCGAAGCATTAGGCAAACTGTCACTGCGTATGCAGAGAGAATCCTTGCTTCCAGGCGTGGCCTTGGAAGTGTAAAAGGTCTTGGTGGGAGTTGGGACAGTGGGTGGGGGATGAGTCGGACGAGGCGATGGGGTGCGATCACCGGCCAGGAGCCTCTTTCGTTCAGTTGGTCGCGACAGAGCTGGGTCAAGCAGACTGCCGACTGACTGGGTGTGTTGGCTGGAAATGTCCCCGTAGGGTGGGAGGGGCGGTGGGAGGCCAGTGGCACTCTGGGCTGCAGACTTGTTGGACAATTCCTCACTGGATAAGCGAACATTTGACAAGCACATAAAGTTATGGGGATGTTTGTGATACCGACGGCCATCGCAAAGTTCCCGCTGAGAGCCCTCGGGCGGTTCGGGCTTAGATTGCGAGCGGAAGTATTCCAGGCTTGAGGTAAGCTGAACTGAAGGCAAAGTAGGTTCTGCCTTTAAGTCGCGCCGGTGTACCGGACGCCTTGATGTGTGGGTGAGGAAAATGTCGTTGTAGAATACGATAAGGTGAGTCATCGCTACGTTGGATAGACT